TATATTGCATTAAGATTTTGCGTGCTATGAAAATTTAAAGCCCTACCATTTGAAAGAATTTGAAGGCAAAAAATGAACATTTTTAATAGTTATAATTACTTGTAATTTTATAACTATTTTGTAATTGGCCAATTCAATAAAACGAATGTACATTCCATACTGTTTTTATTTAGTAATGAAAAATAAATCCATTTTTTTTACGAACAGAATTTATAGCACGGCTATGTACATTTTTTGTGAGATACATCTTTCATAAGTGATAAAGTATATCTCGACTATAATAGGAGGAATTTTCGAGATAAGTTAATATTTAGAAGAAAATAGAAAGATTGTAGCGATATTTCGTTGCAAGATTGAAAATATATTACACGATGCTATTGCCGCATTGTCGTCGAACGCTAAAATGTTCTTTTCAGAAAAATTATGGTAAACGCGCAATAGTATTTCCAATTCAATTTTAATAGTGTGATAAATATAACGTGCATCTATATAATTATTAATTAAATTTTTCTTTTTTCTTTTATGTAATTAAATTTTTTTTTCTTTTATTACTTGTTTATATATATTTAGTTTATATAATTTAGTTTATATATAACTTATATCGTAAAATTATACGCTAAAAGGTTAGCGCTATCAAAATATTCTCAAATTACATTTGAAAATATATCAGAATCTCAAAGAAAACAATTTTTTATTGTTTTTTTTATTTATAATTATAAAAATCGTGAATTAACGCGATTACTAGATAATGTTGTGTCTAACACTAAAGTAAAATGTTGCAATTATCAAATTTTTTTCTTCAACTAAATTATTTCATTGCATCAACTAAAGTTTGTTTGTCCATCAAAACAAGAGATTACTTGATTCAATCAAATGGGATTCTCAGTGCAATCAACGTTCGTTAAACATTGCAAATCGATATTTAAAAGGAAATATGTTTCTAGTGATACGCGAGTAAGAAATGGCAGAAGCAAAAAAAAAGGCGGATGAATATTCAAACAACATCACGGCGGCAATGGGGTTCCAAAGTTCCGACGCGTTTCTGCGACGCACCTGGGTCATTTCAGGCGACGGAGCGCCTATCCGGGACTCTGCTTTACGCGGACACTTTATGCCCTCGATTGCGAGCGACATCGGAACGCTCTCAACTACACCCGGCAACTATCCAGAATCCTTTTCCGATTGCAAAACAACGGAGAGGAGAGCGCGATTTAATTTAAGGACCTTGTGAAGCCGCGCGCGGCTCGTTTCCCTTCTCTCGCCGCATAGTCTGCGTCTAGTTCGGCGGCACGTTTCAATAATCGTGGGCACGACAACGACGACGAGCTTTCTCATAAACCAGATTCATCTCGAAACGACAAAGCTTATCTGGGCGAAAAGTAATGCATAGTAATGCAATATTTTCAAATAGTGCGCACACGATATATTTGATCTTAATGATTGCTTTGAGAATTTTCAAAAATTTATTATATGTTCTTTTTTTTTCTCGCAAATGCGTTGATGAATATATTATTGTTTCAAACCTATAAGGCCACAATCATATTCTGGTAATCCAATTATAAATAAACAGTCTTAAATTAAGAAAGGAAGTGCAATGATATATGTATATAACATATTGTATTTAAATATTATTTCTGTCAATTAGTCGTCACGATTACGAAGGCAACACTCTGAGTTCTTATAAATTATACACGGAGGGTCAGAATAAATATAGTGTCACGAAAAATTTGGTGGTACCGCGTCGCAATTACATATCGCGTGGATTTCGGCTGTGGTTGTGTAAGGCTAAAATTTGAAATTCAAATAAAGCGGTAAGAGGTTTACGACGGCTTAAAGCCGGTGTTACTTCGCCATAAGAATCATGGGACATCTTTGCTTCCGAAGAAAGTGAGTGCATACGTGTTAAATTCGCGGATTCAATCAGACAAACGCATACGTTTAAACTTCTGACAATTTTCTCTTGTACAATATTGCAGAACATAAGGGGCTCTGCACAATAAAAGGAACAGGAAACAGAGAACAGAGAATAAGAATGTCAACCTATCAGAAACTGTATATTCCACAATAATTTCTGATAGATTGAAATTCTTATTCTCTGTTCTCTGTTCCCTGTTCTTTGTTCCTTTTATTGTGCGGAATTCTAAATGCGATCGTTAAGTCCGTCCTTTTCTTGTTATTAAGGTTCTTATTCACGACTTCTATCACAGATTGTGATATCAAGAATCAGAAAATATATAATAAAAATTTTTGCAAAATATATTAATATGGAAATTTTAGTAAAACAAGACTAAAATCGATAGAATCGACTTGTAAAATATACTGAAAATTCCTTTTTGTCTTGTCAATTAATAAATATAACCATTAATAAATATAAGTGTTCCGATATGCAGCCAGTACTGAAAATCTACAGTATAGTATATAACCTGAATTATAAATTTTCAGTACTGGCAATGTATATCGGAACACGGCTTCTGGAAATGAATTATGCATAAATCAAAATAAGCTGTGTTCACAATTGTGGCATACTATCTAAATTCTAAATTAATAATATGTATAGTATATAAAAATAGATATAATTTAATTTTTTTTTCAAAACAAGAAGATAATTCGACATATATTTTATAAGTTTAAATTATTATTTGCAAATGTTGTTTTATTGGAAAATTTTTGTTCAAATATAATATAACTTGCAAGAATTTTTATTATGTGTTTTCTCCT